AGAAAAACAAATTTCTGTATACACTTCTGAAGCTAGTGAAAAATATACACGTGCTTGAAATTAAGAATGTAAAATAAAACTAAATGATTTTTAGCATGGAGTTATACTGTTACTTATACTGCATTTTTTAGTCTGGAGGCTTGAGAAGCAAATATCTCTCGTATAATAATCTCGCAAGGAATATGTACTTTTGTGGCTCTGCTGAGTAGAGGAAATGATTAATTCCCATGGGCGAACTGCTATTTCGCTCATGGGGTGAAGTTGGCTTTAAGTTATAATTAAAAAAAAGGAAGGTTAAAACTGTTTTAAAATTGTCAGATATTAGATAAAATTAAATTGGATTTACACTCCTTGCGGTAGTTAATAGATATTATGTTATTTTATAAACGCCATTTTAGTTACGAGTTTTATAGGACATGAGCGAGCTTGCGAGCAAATTTTTAATAAAAAAGTAGACACTCTAAAGTTAATAAATCGAGTTTCATACTATACTTTATCTACTACGAACACGAAAAAGAACTTAAAGCAAATTTTTTTTTTGTTAAACATTTAACATCTGTCAACTTTTAACGGATTTAACCTCACTTTTCCCTAATTTATAATAATTTTAACTTTAGCCCGTGACTAAAATGCACAAAAAGAACTATTGCTAACATCCGCCCGTGACTAAAACGCCAAAAGTCACAGCTCGTCAACGTAGGAGTAGATAAATAAAATATTATGTGCGATAATTGTCCAACAGAGAGAATTACGCTCGTTTGAGGAATCTTCTCTTTCTTGAACTAAACGCACGATATACTTTTTTGTAAAAAGCTTTTAAATAAATTAAATTAAACTCAGCTAAATGCTGAAAGAAATTTAATTTGTATAAAATATTAAAGACTTTGAATTAACATAAATGATATTATTTACAAGTAAAGTCACTTCCTTAAAATATCTCACTTTATTAAAGAGAAAACTTAACAAGTTATAACAATGTAAACTTTTAGTAAGTGGTTATTTCCCCTTAAATTTGTTATAAAATGATGATAAAATAGACAGCAACGCAAAATGGATTATATACATTAAGGCCAGTTTAATCTGACACAATGATGCCCCTTATCTTAACTTTGTTACAATTGCTTTTGAAATACCCTTTAAACTCATCGTAAAATTTGATTGCTCACTTAAATCTATATGATTTAATTAAAACATAGAGTCGTGTTTAGAACAATTTTCGGCTACTAAACTGAAATTTAAACACAAAAATATAAAAATGTGGGTCTTTAATTTATTTCCAACTGTACTAATATATATATACATATTTAAATTAACAGGGGCGCCGGAATGTTTTGAAAGCGTGTGTTGAGTAAGTCTGGTCATAGTTTAGGAGGCATTCAAGTCTCACGTAAGCAGAATAAGGGGTGGGGGTTCAATTTTTAATTACTTTTGCTGAGAAAAGAAGGGGGGTTTTCTTATTTTTGCATTTACAGGGTCTAAAATCATGTATAGTGCGGTTTCGTAATAGTTAAACACTCCATATAGGGGGACCATTAGGGGAATTATTTTAAGCAATGGCAATAAATTATAGTGTTGTTTAGTGTACCCAAAATAAAAGCATTATTACCTACAATAGTTTTATTCCGAAAGCATCTTACAAAAGATCTTTTGACAAAGCAAACATATTGGTTCGTTTCGCATTTCTTGATATAAATTCGTCCATCAGATTATCTAAATATATTTTGTCTGCCAACTCGTGGTAAATATGTAATAATGCAACCTAATGTAAACGTTTTTGTCCTATCGTCTCCCGCACGTACAATTTTAATCTTTTAAGGGTTAAAACTCCTCTCGTTTAAGCAAGAAGCTGGAATCGAACAAATCGTAACAGTTCAGGAAAAATTAATAAATTATTAAAATTATATTTATAGAATTAGATAATTTCATCTACATGGCCATTTTCGCCGAGCACAAAAGCTTCAAGAAAACTAAAAAAGTTGTTCCAAAGCGGCATTTCAATGATGATATCGTAAACTTTTCTATACAAATCTTCGGCAGTCTGAAAAACATGGTTTTCATTATTTTTTTATTCAGAATCAAAGCGTTTCGGAATTCTTTTACGTCGTGGCAATTCGGCTTCTTTTACGTCAAATTTTTTAGAAGTTTCATTAGTTTGAATCCAAATTTGTTGAAATTTTTCGTCCCGAGATAATTTTAACCAGTTTGATACAGCATCGACTTTTTGAAAAGAGTCAATCACATTTATTTAAAAATTCTGCAAATCTTGTGAAACGTAAATAAAAATAAAAATTCAAAATGTTCCATATGCTTAAAAAATCCACTTGATTTTGGTGGGTTATGTAGAACGATTTTCGATGGTTTTATCTAGTCTAGGGTCTCTTAAACATTATCTACACGTTAAAAAGGGCAGCTAAATAAGCATATATATATATAGTAGGGTATCCCTTATTTTTATTTTTTTTACGCATACCCTCTAATTATATTTATACTTGTTTATATACTCCCAGTAAAAATTTCAGCTCATTCTATAAACGGGAACCCGTGCCGACTTGCATCTGAACCCTCCATTAGCCAACGTTAGGCGCGCGGTATTTTTTAACACGGTTGGTCGCGAGGTCTTCGATCGTAAGTCATTTTGTGTTTGTTATTATGTGACCCTTATATTATAAATTATTAAAAAATGTTAAAATATAGTTTCATTTATGTGAAATTCACATAAATGAAACACATTATAAATACTTTAATAAAAATGAATATTTTTACAGGAAGTGGCTAGTTACCCGGAAGTGTCGGGTGAATAGGCCGTAAAACTAATTACCCGAAACTCTTTTTTTTATTATATCTGAATGAACATTAAAAAATAACCAAAAAAAAATTTTGTTGATTTTATCCCTTAAATATATTAATATACTAATTAGTATTGCTAAAATATACTGTTATACGAAATTTCAGCTTTTTATAAGAATTTCTTTTCTTGATGTCCTCCCAAAAATATTTCAGACAGTTCAATAAGTTTTCGGTAGTCATCTCTCACAATAGACTCTTTTAGTTATTTAGAGTAAAACCCATTAAGTTTATCAATTTCAGAGTTTACTAGACCCTAGCCACTCTCTGTGAAAATATACATTTTTATCAAAGTATACGCATAAATAAAACTATATTTTAACATTTGTCAATAATTTATAATATAAGGGTCACATAATAACAAACACAAAATGACTTACGATCGAAGACCTCGCGACCAACCGTGTTACAAAATACGTTGGCTAACGGAGGGTTCAGATGCAAGTCGGCACGGGTTCCCGTTTATAGAATGAGCTGAAATTTTTACTGGGAGTATATAAACACGTAATAAATATAATTAGAGGGTATGCGTAAAAAAATAAAAAATAAGGGACACCCTAATATATAGGTATATATATTTATATATATTGTTCGGTTGGGTTCGGTGAAATTTAGAGATCCAAAAAAAAATTTATTGTCGAATTCTATGTGTTGAATTTCACACATAATCTTCACGTGTGTTAAGCTCTAAACACACACATCAGGCTTAATTAATATAGGTTACATAAAAAAACGTGTAGTCATTGTCGCTATTGCTAAAAGTGAAACCAGGAAGGGGCCAGGAAATTGGTTATATGGTTTTAATAATTTTTAATAAGCATACACCATCTATTAAATTTAAATTTAATATTATTCTGTACTTTAGTTAGATTTACACTCCAGGCACGAATAGAGGTTGCCAGGTGTCTGGCTTTAGCTTTTAGCTTTAGCAGGTTTGGCTTTTTACGGTCGCTTAAATAACTGGTTACTTTTATGACAAAACTGATTTATTTGTAGTTAATAAACAATTTAAATACGTAACAGAGTATTTTTATTTGTGTCCGGCTGTAAAAACGCATGTTTGGCTTTAAAAAAAGATATGTCTGGCTTTTGAGTCAAAATGCATGGCAACCTTAGGCCTGAAACATTAGGCTTGTGAAAACTATTCACAGTAAAAAATATTTATGCAATCACAATGCATTTCGACACACACAGTGGTAGGTTTTATCAAACCCTACGTGGCCCAAAAGAGTCTAAATAGCTTTGACCAGCTATGCGGCAATATTTCAGAGTAATAGGTTTACTACTTTACGCCAGTAGTAGGCAACCAATGTTGCACTGTCGAAATACATTGTGATTGTACGCCGCACAGCGAGGCCACGTCTTTAGACGGTAGATGTCTCCAGATTGACTTGCCGATACATCTCGCCGCTGTCCTGGTCAATTATTTCTTTATAAGTGCTAAGTGCCGAGCTTGATGCGTGTCTCCCGTCACCAACTGCCTGACACTGATGAGACCCAAGTTGGGTCACCCAACAGGTCGAAACAGGCTGTCTGTTAGTGTTGGTGGGTATGGTGCATTAGTCATTGGACCATACCATTCGGGAGACGCGCTTCGAGCCCGGCTCGGTGACGAGATGGAAGGCATTTCAGTCTTGTAACAACTGTAATATGTTAACTAGTTGAATAAGTAGTTTGTAATTATAGCAGACATTTTGTAGATTTAATAACAAAATGTTAATAATTTAACCATAATTCTTGTAATTTTCAAAAATGACCTTATTTTTAAAGACCTTTTTGTAGCCCCATTAACAAAAGTAATTGAAAATTGGAAACATAAATGAAAAGAATTTTAATAAGAAATGTTGCTTTATTAATGAATTTCCTAAAAAAACTAACTTTTTTACTTAAATTTATATTCGGCTTGCGCAGAACTTATCTATTCAATGTCATTATAAACACATAAAAGTTTGATATGAGAGGTCAGCCGCCACTTTTTGGTTATAAAGATTTTTATTTTAACTATTAAACATGGTTATAATATTTCAATAGTGCTTAAAAAATTAAATTTTTATCAAAAAACTGATTATGTAAATTGAAAATTATCAGTAATAAATTTACGAAAAGAAGCGAATTTCAATTTGTTGATATCTGCCCTATTACACCTAAAATATTACCTTGGAATGGTCCCTGGAGCTTGAACCGAGTTGATTATAGTGGCTTTTCAGATATTCCAGATTGTACTTTATTTCCTGCAGAAAAGAAATTGCTTCCTCGCGGCTCATCTGAAACAAAATGTCACGCGGTTTTAAATCTCGCATCTAAATTTAAATCTGAGAACATGAAAAACGTTTATATTTTAAATGCTTCATTAAAATTATTTTTAAAACTAAAAAATATAATAATAATTAAATTACGACCAGCAAAATAAAAAGCACCCTGTATAAAAATTGTATAAAGTATATTTCTAAAAAAATTTAGCTTACATTAAATAATTTAAAAGGCAACGTTTCTATCTTTTTATAATTATACTTATACGAGGTATGTTGAGAAAGTAACGAAAATTATCGTTTTCTCAGGTTGTACATTAGTCCAACCCTGATAGCACAGTTTATTCTAAGAATGTTTTTTAAACCTTCCATTGGGAATATTCTTAGGATCATGCTATATTTCTTCTAGTCATGTTCTAAGAATGTTTTTTAAATCTTCCAGTGAGAATATTCTTAGGATCATGCTATATTTCTTCTAGTCGTGTTCTAAGAATGTTTTTTAAACCTTCCAGTGAGAATATTCTTAGGATCAGGCTATATTTCTTCTAAAGAACATGCTTAAAAGAAATATAGCATAATCCTAAGAATATTCTCACTGGCCTATAGGCAGGTTCTTAGAAGGTGCAAAGTTTAGTGGTAAAATGAATCCACTCTAAACATATGCTTAGAATGTGGAGAAATTAATTGCTATAGAAAGTTCATTTAGGAATGTTCCAGGAACATTCTGTTAAGCATATTCAAAAAGAACGAATCATTTAAATGAACCGAATGATTCGAACAAAGTTTGTAAAAGAATCAATTCTTTTTTGAATCAATTTTTTTAAATCACGACTAGTGAACTAAAAAGTGAATCCAACTTTAAAATAAATATAAACTTGGTTACAAGCACTGAATTAAATGCTAGATTCGGATCACTAGGCTAAAATGTCGATCTTTTTGAATAACTGGTGATATTTCTAGGGATATTTCAGGTAATTTTTTGTCAAATATCAAAATACTCTTTTGATTCAAAAGTTTCCAATACAACCTAGGTACTTGTATTTTGTTTTTTTATGTAAGCTGTGCTGTTGTTGCACCGGAAAAGCCATAGGTTAATTTACACGTAAGCAAAATAAAAATCGAATCCAATAATTTAATAATACAACCGTTGATTCATTTAACGATACAACCAATACAAGTCATTATTACAAACGATTCAAGAACCAAGTCATTAATTCGGTCGAACCTGAATTGTTCGTTAATTATTTGTTCCTGAAAGTGAATCAGTCGCGAACGAATCTTTATGAACGAATCATTTTAAAAGAATGAATTAAAAGAATTGATTCACCAAAAATAATCGAACTTCCCACCTCTATACTATAGGTATCTAAATTATCCCCGGCTTTTATATAAAATCTTCTATCGAACTTAAATACAATGAAAAATGTTTTTTTTATGAAGAACTATTTGGTTTTTTCTTTTTATGAAGAATTATTTTATAAGGAAATATTTTGTATTTTTATATTTTATTTTACGTTAAAAATAAATATTTATTAATTTGTATACGGATTTTTTATTTCTAAATTAACATTTTTATGTATAATAATCCTAACTATCTTCAACTTCAATCTAATCTGACTTAAGTATACCACAAAATTTTCCAATTTTACTTTTTATGAAATAATGTCATACAACGTATGGTGTAGAGGTCATATTGTTTATTTAATATTTTTTTAAAAATATATATTAATACATCGCAAAATTTTTTAAGGGGACGACAAATACATTTCACTGTCATATTATGACAGTGAGGCGAATTTTTCGCCTCCTGAAGAATTTTACGAATGTAGAATCCAACATATTAGAACGTGGGTATCTGACATATTTGGAAATATTCTCAAAAGCTTCCTAGAAGCTCCATAAGAAACCTTCTAAGAACATTCCAAAAACGTATTCTTAAAATGTTCTAAGCATGCTTTTTAGGAAGGTTTTAAGAAGCTTCTAAGAATCTAATTGCATCATTAAAAGGGTATCTATTGAATGTTTTAAAGGTCCCTAAGAATATTCATAGCAATAAGAGAAGGTTCTAAGAATATTCCATTATTCCGGGCCATATCTTCTAAGAAGATTCTTAGAATCAAATTTTGCTATCAGGGAAGTCGAGACAGTTTTCGCTGCAGATTTAAGCGAGGTAGGGTAGTTCAATTTATTAGCCACCAGTGAGTGCACCTTATATCCTCTAATTTTATTTCTTTTTTAACTGTAAATAGACAAGGACCCAAGAAGTAAAAAAACTCACCTTTTCTTTTCTCCCCCTTCACCTATTTATACAGGGCTATCCAAGAGTTACTGTGCAGACCTAACTAAAAAAAAATTTACTTCTTTTGCTAATATAGCTGCTATCGACATTAAACTAACTGTTAATTGTTAAGAAAATATTTCTCTTTTAAACCATATAGGACACATTTAGTTATTGATGCCCTAATGGTCTTGGGAATATTTTTAAAAATGCATTTTTTTGGCAAAATTGTCTAATTTTATAAATTCATATACATACATATTCTTAGAACAACTTGCCAGCAAATTTTTTTTAATGAAGTTTGTTACCAAAAATCTTACTCTTTATAAAAGCAATGAAAACATTTTCAAATAATATTGGCTAGAGTTCAAAAAAATATAATAAAAAGTCATGTTTTCGAAAAATCACTATTTTCAGCCATTTCATGGTTTAAAAAGGCTATGTTTGATTGAGACGATTTAAACCCTATAGGGTGATATATCACCACATGCACTTATTAGCCTCCCATAACCATGTATAAAATTTTTGTGTATTTTGCTTTTCACTGGGCTGTGGCTGTATTATCTAAAGCCCAGCTATAAGCAAAATACACAATATGCCCACCTGACTAAATCCATAATATGGATTATAATATTATTAAGTTTATTGGTATAATGTGGATTATATCAATATAAATCCATAATACAGGGTGTCCAGAAAGGGTAGGGGGTATTTGTAAGTTCAATAAAAATAAAACTACAAGTCAGAAAAAAATATATTTTTTAAATTTTTAGACAAAGTTTTGGAAAATTAAGTGCCAAAGATTTTTTTGTCCAAATGTTGACCCTCGCGCTGCTGGCATTTCTCTAACCGAAAATGGAAATTCACTATTGCGCCTCTACACATATCTCTGTAAACAGCGGCCATTTCAGTGCGGATCTTGTGCAGGAAAATTCGTGGTCTGTTTTTATAAACTTTATCTTTAAAGTTTCCTCGTAAATAAATAATCAAATGGTGTAAGATCGGCGCTTCTCGGAAGCAAGTTAATGGTGCCACGTCGAGAGATCACTTTTTTCGGGATAATTTGATTGAAAACTTTAAGTGACTGATTTAAGGGGTGGCAAGGGGCCCCATCTTGTTGAAACCATGTTTCCACATTAAAACCTTCAAACTTCTGCAGTTGTGGAATCAAAAAGTTTCTTTAACATGTCGCAATACCGTTCACTGCAGTGAACGGTTAACCTGTTTACCGTAAGTGCTAGCCCTCGTCGGTTTTAAAAAATGTAAGGCCCAATGATTCCTTCATCATTGATTATTTTTATGGGGATACCTTAAAGAGAAAGTTTATGAAAATAGACCACGAACTCTCCTGCAATTGAAGCACAACATCCGCAACGAAATGGCCGTTGTTTTCAGAGATATGAGTAGACGCGTGATAGTTAATTTCTGTTTTCGGTTAGAGGAATGCCAGCAGCGCGAGGGTCAACATTTGGACAACAAAATCTTTGGGACTTAATTTTCCAAAACTTTGTCTAAAAATTAAAAAAAAAAATTTTTTCTGACTTGTAGTTTTATTTTTATTGAACTTACAAATACCCCCTACCCTTTGTGGACACCCTGTATTTAACAAGTCTTCTGCGATCACCATAAGTAGTTAATTTATTCCTCTTGATAGACATTATTATACCGCGGAACTTTTCCAGCGATGACGTAAAAATGTTAACAACAATCAGAGTTAAAAAAGTAAACACTTATCTTTATACATGTGCAAAAAATAACTATAATATCACAATATGATGTAATCGCTGAAAAACTTCCGAGCTATAGACATTATACACATAAGAAAATTTTCAGGTTCATATAACTTTTTAGAGGTAAAAAATAGTAGGTAAATAGGTTTTTTTAGGTGATTGTAAAAGTTAAGAATATGATTTGTTCAGTTTAATTATATGAAGTTAAGTTTAATTTAAATTTAGGATTTAGTACCTGTTTTATTTTGGCTAAATATAAAGTTTATGAAAAGTATGTTTTTTAGTCATTTAATTAATTTTTTGTACATTAGATTATGTTTTCTTAATTTAAAAAATAAATAAATGGGTAGTTAATTTTCTACGCCACTGAATTAGAAGTCGAGATATTTTAAAGATGTAATACGCTTTTTAGAAATATATGGTTAATATATGGATTTAGTCACATGTGGACATATACATTCACAGCCCAGCTAAAAGAAAAATACTCAATAATTTTATTCATGGTTATTGGAGACTAATAAGTGCCTTTGATGATAAGCATAAATTGGTTTGAATCAACTCACTCAAACATAGCCTTTTTAAACCATAAAATGGCTGAAAACATGAATTTTAAATATATATTTTTTTTAATTCTAAGCCGGTATTATATGAAAATGTTTTTTTTGCTTTTATATAGAGTAAGATCTTTGGTAACAAAAAAATTTTGCTGGCAAGTTGTTCTAAGACTATAAAATTAGACAATTTTGCCAACAAATTGCATTAAAAAAAATCCCAAAGACCATTTAGGGCATCAATAACTAAATGTGTCCTATATGGTTCAAAAGAGAAATATTTTCTTAACAATTAACAGTTTGTTTAATATCGATAGCTTTATTAGCAAAAGAAGTACAATTTTTTAAATTTAGGTCTGCATAGTAACTTTTGCGTAGCCCTGTATAAATAGGTGATAGGGGGAGAAAAGAAAAGGGGAGTTTTTTTCACTTTTTGCGTTCTTGTCTATTTACAGTTAAAAAAGAAATAAAATTAGACTATATGGGCTCATGAGGGGAACTCATTGGTGACTAATAAATGGAATTACCCGGTAGTTTCTTCGCCTATTGTATAAACTATATATTGTATTGTATAATATGTATGTATATATATATATATGCCCGAGACAACGATATCAGTTATGCTTCAGTGCAAATTATATTTAAAAGGGAAAAGATGCATCCCTATAAGGTGCATTTGTTGCAAGAATTAAGTGAGAACGATTTTGATCGAAGGGCTAAGTTTTGTGAAATTTTGATGAAACGTTGTAATCAGGATCCAAATTTCTCAAAAACAATTTTATTTTCGGATGAGGCCACATTCATGCTGAACGAATTTGTTAAACTACCGCTACTGGTCCCACCAAAACCCGCATTGGAAAGAGGAGACACACACACAGCACCCTCAAAAGATAAATGTATGGGCAGGAATAATTGACCAACACATAATAGGACCATTTTTTATTGAGGGCAATCTAACTGCAGAACAAAATTTTAACCTCCTCCAGACAGATATCGTTCCAGCAGTAAGATCATTGTACCCAGGGGAAAATAATAAAGTAGACGACACCATTTGGTTCCAGCAAGACGGTGCTCCACCACATTTTGGTTTGGCAGTAAAGAGATACTTATCCCAAGTATTTCCGAATAGGTGGATTGGTAGACGAAGGCCAATAGAGTGGTCTACTAGGTCTCCAAACCTAACACCATTTGACTTTTTTATGGAGTCATTTGAAGTCAGTGTACAAAAATAGGCGGTACAATCTTTAGGTTCTAAGAGAAAGAATTCATAATGTTCAAGACGTTTGGCTGCAAAATGTAAAACAAGAATTTGAAAATCGTTTATTCCACTGTTTTGCAGTTAACGGCAAACATTTTAAAAACTTACTTTAAAATTTGGGTAATCATACTCTTGTTTTTATTCATTATTTTGAATAAATATTTTTTTGAATTCTAGGCCATTTTGCTCAATTATGTAACATACCAATATCAATATACTGTTGTAAAAAAAAGTTGCCCCCCTTGAGGGACTACGTATTTATTTTTTTAAGTTGGTAATGTCACCAAAAAATTTGAAATAAACTATTAAACAGCTTTTATTAAAATCATTTTTTATTATTTATGTTAATTCAAAAGTTACACTCAATTTTCCAAACTTTTGAGCCACCCTGTGTATTATACTAGGAGTATTTTTTTAAGTGTTTAATAATTTTGTACTTAAATACATTGAAATTCTTAAGTTTGCGACATTTAGGTTATGTGCATGAATTTGTTTTAAAGTGACCTGTAATTGTACAGTAACCTACACTGAAATCGAGCTAAATGCGATAGATGGAATTACTCTTTTTATGTAATTTCAATTTTGAAGGAAAAAGGGCAAAGATAGCTGATTTTAATCACATATTGATTAAAATTAGAGCATATATCGGCTATCTTTGACCGTTTTTATTTTTATTAAATAACTTGCATAAAGAATTAGTACAAAATTGTATGTAGGATTAGTATAACTAGTTTTGGAGTCCCCTATGATGTGGAGGCACAAGGCTGCAGCCCCCTTAGCCTTCCCTTAACCCCCCCTAAGGGGGCCCCCTTAATCCGGCCCTATGAATAGACTATTCATAGTAATTTTAATTATTTAATTAATTGCAATGGTGCTTATTGCTTATGCTTATGTAAGCAAAAATAAGACAAGCCACAAAATAAAACAGATATAATGACCTTTTTAAATGGGCTGGAAGAGAAATTGAATAATTCAGAACTTATGAAAAGTGCCTTTTTTTAAATATAAATTTTCTTACCAAACCGTCCTGTAAAAACTCTTCTATAGACAAGCTGACTCCTTTTTCATCGCCAGTCCAAAAAATATATTCTGCCATATCTAGAGGGGAGTACTGAACGCCGTTAGAAATGTCCAGTTTACTAACCTACAAAAAAAACGGTAAATCAATATCTAGGATAATTAAAATTCCAAAGAGCATTGCGACGTGACACGTCATTGTAGAATGTGGAAATAGATAAGTTGACTAATATTTGCTGTGGAAATTGACACACCATAGGGAATTGCAAATAAGTCGCGTGGATAGAAAAAATAGTAGGTACGTTTTATGAAGGCTGGATATTTAATATATTATTTATTTAAGGAAAATAAATATTCGTTTCATAAGACCTATATTAAAAAAAAATCAAAGGATGTTGTTTCTTTTACATTTAAACTTCTTAACAGGTAAAACCATATACATTTACTCGTGCATATTTTTACCTATACGAGTATATCAATTTTAATTTAAAGAACAATATTTTACCATTTTTTAGTGGCCATATTGCCTTTAATTCTTAATGGATTGAATAAAGAGAACATGGTAACATTCTGACATTTAATAAAAACTTTAACAAAAATTTATGATAGGTACAATAATCAAGCTTTAAGCATATAATGTACAGGGTGTTATGGAAACAAAATGTAAAAGTAGCTTGATTAACAGGTGTATTTTCTGACAGTTTATGGAAAAAATTAAAACATTAAATCATTATAAATTTGATATTATTAACAAATTTAATCTTTTGAAACGTTTAGGAATAGAAAATTGTTTTCAATTATTTTATGTAAATAAATAGTCTAAAAACATTAAAATATTTATTATATAATTTAATTTTTACATGCGGAAAAAAATTGTAATTTCGTTTATAATTAAAATACAATGATCGATCTTATTTTCTCAGACAATAATTTCTTAGGACATAATTTCTCACTGCAATAATTTATCACTGCAATAATTTATCACTGCAATAATTTCTCACTGCATTAATTTGTTACTGAAATAATGTCTCATTGTATAAATTTCTCATTGCAATAATTTCTCACTGCAATAATTTATGTTAACATAAATTACGTTTGCATAAAATTACTAGGACCCTATTTTCAAAAGATTTTATTAAAATTATTTAAAAAAAATGTCGGGGTGGAGGGAGTGATTTTGTTTTCTAAAATCATAAGTTGTTAATATTTCAAAAAAATCTCTGGCATAAACTAAATTTTTATAAAAAGCAGAAGATATTTAATTGATTTATTTAACTTATAAGATAGTTTACTGCATTTCTTAGTTGAATTAATATACAAATTGTCCATAGCTTAATACCTCTGTCACAAGAAAACGCATTAAGAATTTTTTGTAGTTACTGCCTTTCTCCATAGTAGGGCAGTACTGTGGTCCTACTTTTAATGCAAATAAACTATTATTATTATTATTTTTATTATTATTATTATTATTATTATTATTATTATTATTATTATTATTATTATTATTATTATTATTATTATTATTATTATTATTATTATTATTATTATTATTATTATTATTATTATTATTACCTAATTGTAATATGCAAACTAAGAAAAATTTACTCAAAAACTGTAAAGCTAGTAGCATTTTAAGTTTCGTTGTCGGTTATAAAATCAACTTGTTATAAAACCTATTTAAACATATTTTTGTCGGAATTTTAGGAAAATTGGTGTATATTTCTGTCTGGATTATTATCTGCTAAGTTTACATCGATTGGAAATGGTTGTTATGGAATCAAAACAAACAACGCATCTGCTGATATCAATTTGAATGGGCGTTATAAAAAAACGGTTTTTTTTAAATATTGCAAAAACAAGAGCTGATTGAGCTAAATAATGGTAACCTACAAATATTGTTGATGGGCAGTAATCGATTAATAAAAGATATTTACAAAATTTTAACAAAGAAACTAAAATAAAATATATTATTGTTATCATAGACACAGACTAATTACGTAGAAAAAAAAAGTCTGAATCAGGAACTAAAAATATTGCTCTAAACACAATAAATAATATTGGATGGGGAGGTCTACTCAGAGCCTACAACTGGTCGAGACAACCCATCTTTTTTTTTTTAAATTATCTATGGTAAATCACAAACCAACATTTTTTAACCTACTTTAACTGTTATTTTTCTGTTTAATACAAATTCAAAAATAAAAATTAATCAACACCAGAAAAAGTTTACCTAAATAACATAAATTGTCATCAAAAGCGACAAATAATAGGCCAGCGAAAATTTTCAACTAAAAAATTGTGTAAGCATTCACTTATTATGTGACATATTTAAATGTAAATGTAAATTATACACAGACAAAAACTACATAAAATAATTGATCTTAAAAACAACTTTTTTATATTATAGAAAGCTCTTTTAAAATAGATTTAGACATATTTATTGATTTAATATTATAATTCATTTTTTAGAGTTTATTTCCTCTTAAAATGTATCGTTATAATTTATTGTTTTAAACCGTTGATCGTTATTCATATTTAATTATAATTATATTGTATTCTTTAATTCTTATTTTAAATTTTCTGTGGATGTATAAATTATATTAATTAAGCAAAGTATGCCATGAACAAAACAAAATTTAAAAAATAACCAATAACTTAAGAAGAATTCTGTCACTGTATTTGATTTACTTGCTTTTTAATGCTTATCACAAGAATATGGCTTATTCTTTACAAAAAAATAAAAAAATGTCCTAGCTGGGACACCTTGTATTTAAGAGCGATAAAAATTGGTATAAAGCCCGTTCAGAATAAAACCGAATATATCTATATATATATATGGGGCGTGGCCTCGCCTCCCTCCAAGGCGCGTCACAGTAGTTTGTGTGATAAACTACATGACGAAAGGTCGATCAGGTTAGACGACTTAAAAAATTAAATGATAATAATCCAAAAAATCTCATTAGCGATGCACTATTTGCTTAGCTACTGTGTCGCGCGTTGGAGGGAGGCGAGGCCACGCCCCATATATATATAGATATATTCGGTTTTATTCTGAACGGGCTGTATATATTATTTTTGCTCTGAAAAAATTCCTAATTGTACGTACCTAATAGTTTTAAAATTTCGACCCCACAGTTGGCCATGAGTTTAGTTGTCAAAACAACTGACATATACGTTTATAGTATGTTGCACAATCCACACAAAAAGATCTGTTCTCTGATTGAATGTTTATGAAATAATAGCACTTCTCTGCTTCTTGTTTTTTTATAAACCTGACTAGTTTCGGTTATTAATAACTATCTTCAGGGGTCTCTACAATAGAAATACAATACAAACATAATACAACAAATTGGAAAAGAAAATGGATGCAATAAAAAAACTATAATGAAAATTCAACAAAGAATAAAAATGAAGAACATATTAAAACTGATTAACTTACAACATAATGAAAAAACAACATACCAATATAGAAAAATATCCTATGAAGGTCCACTTACAAATAATATCAACGAAATTAAAAAAAAAAAATTCAACCTTAAAGATGCAATAAGAACAGAAAAAACAACTTACAACAGCCTTAAAAATGTCAAAGACCAAACAAATGTATTACAAAAGAACGGAGTATACAAACTTGAATGCAAAGATTGCAATGGTGTATAATAGTATGTGTAATACAGTGTATATATATATATATATATAGGTGAAACAGAGAGAAGCTTTGAAAGAGACCCCTGAAGATGGTTAGTAATAACCGAAAATATCTACTACTACTGCTATAAAATGGATCTCCAAATTAAAAAAAAGATCTGTTCTATAGAAGAATTGTTAACAACATAAAAAGTTGCCTAGCTTCGTGATTTTTAGAATGCGCGAAAAATCACGAAGCTAGGCAACTCACTGCACTCTGACTCTAACGGCGGCCATTTTTATGTTGTTAACAATTCTTGTACTTTGGGTTTGTGCAGTTTATACATATTAAAAATCGTTTAAAACATTGTATTTCTTACAGAGACCCATGTAAGCCTTAAATAAGGCATTAAATTGCTAAGGACAACCAGTTTCCTCCTCTTTTGTTAAAAATAAACCTTATTCTATCAGGGCTGTCATCAAACTGTCAATTTTAAGTTTAATATACCATAAGCCAAAAATTTACCATACCCACAAAGAAAAAGAGTCTCCATTAAAATTTGACTAACAACAGTTTTTCACAGTGAAAGTAAAGAAAATGTTTTATGGGCACTCCACGGTGGAGTCTCCACCCGAAATTAAGTTAAATCTAGTTTACTGCCGGCGAAATTAAAAGGTCAGTACAATGTTTATATAAACTTTTTAAATATTGGCGTTGAGAAACTGAGATAATAAAATAATTTTTACATTTAGTATTATTTTACAAGAAGGGCACTTTATTTTAACGATTGTATGACATTTGACAACTTTCAAGTAACATAAAAAACTAACTTCAGCTCGTGACTAAAAACCTGTTACTAAGTTCAGCCCGACTGAAACGCCATAAAGCCACAACTTGTCAATGTGTACACAGTATAAAATATTTCGGTGTAAAGTTACCAAATGGAGGGGTAAAATCATTTGGTGTTAATTTATACACTAAAATTGGTCAAAAATATTAAGAGTTTATTTTAAATTATGGTAAAATTCATTCGTGTTAATTTAAATTTATTTAACACAGCACCGTGTCAATCTAGTGTTAATTTAAAGATAAACTCGACGCAGTGTACATTTGACACTATTGTAGCAAGTACGGCTCTGGATCTCGGAATGATGACTAATCGAGAGTGTGGAGCTCGCTGGAATGTTCCAGAAGACGTAGGCGCTGTAATATATAAGGAACGGCGCTGCATGGAGCAGTCAGTCCAGTTTTGGTACTCGCGTCGAAATAAATAAATATACGTGAAAATAAATAGACTCTTGAACAATAGTGATATATAAATAATTAGTAGTTAAGTGTTTAGTTAAATTTATAGTTTTATAGTGTTTTAAGTGTAGTGAAGTTATTAAATAAATAGTCTAGTTCGTTAATTAACCAATGCGTGTTTTTATTCACACTACGAACAGTAAAAACGTTACAATATTATGTGTTGACAGCTACACAAATTGTGGTAAGAAAAAAGTCACGTAGTCATCACCATTCGCAAATGGCATGTTATTTTAAGACCATGATTTTTAAATTAAAATTTAGTGGTCGGGTGAAGTGGTGCAATGTGACAGTGGATGCAAGTTATGTTTCTGATATAAGATGTTTTTTTACCTGTGATTTTTAAGTGAAATATGAAATTTACTAATATTTTAAGTTTTTTGAGCTAGTGAAAAATCATATTTAACTTATATAACTTATATAAGCTAAATATGGTTTTGCACAAACTGAAGAAAACTTAAAATATTACTATTTTTCATTCAATTAAAAAAAGTTATTAACACTACTTGGGTATAAGAATACTTACACCTAAATAGTGTTAATAATTTTTTTTAAATTTTATGCCAAAGCCTATTTCTAATAGTTTGTAAGTAATATAAAATATACTTTTTCTACTCCCACCTTTAAAACACTAACTTAAATTCGGGCTAACTCCACTGTAAAGTGCTCATAAAACATTTTCTTTACTTTCACAATGAAAAAATGTTAATTTTTAAGAAATACATTTCGATTTATAATCTTTATAATCTGTGTTTATAAAATATAAAAATTTGTCATTTGACGGTGACACACAGATTCCCCTATTGTTTCATAGATGGCGCTCTATACAAAATTTTGATTTAAATCATTTTAAGATAATAATAAGTATTTGTCGTAGAAAAAGTATAGTATTCACCTCGGTAATAAATTTTTCTATACACTTTTTAATTTAAGCACTCGCTCGCAAGCTCGATCGTGCCTAAATTAAATTCGTGTATAAAATGGCGTTTATCAAACTTGATACATAATATACTATTATTTTACATTACATGCTATGTTTAATATTAAAACACCCACCATTTTTAATACCTACACGTAACACCTTCCTGTGTAGCAAATTACACCAAATTGAGCATTTTCTACTCTTGAATGGAGTTCTTTTACCAATATTGGGTATTACTTTTACCCCTAAGAGTGTATTATATTTGATGATTTTTACACGAGTTTTTTGTACGAATAGTACGTGTAGATTTTTAACCAATTAAAAAGGGTAAAATTTACCAAATTGTATGTGGTTAGATATACCATTTCTAGTGTGGACCTATATAGACCACTTTTGGTTTTGTTTTTTACCAGAAATTTTATACTGTGTATTTAAAATGTCATGAAAACATGTACGATATTGGGCGTTTTAAAGTTAGGAGTAGAATATTTAAACGTAATTTTTTCTTAAACTTCCATATTTTTAAGTTAATTTTTCTATTTACCATATTTTGACTTCTGACAATTCCAGCTGTGTGTAAAGTAAGTTTATGCGCTGATAAACTTGATTAAAAATAAATTCTTAATCCTTTTATAAAACAATTAATTTAAAAAATTTAAATAAAGTAATAGTACTATGTATTTAAATTTAAAAAAATTGTTCGGAAACATATAAAATTATTTAGGACAATGTTGTCCTAACTTGTAAATAATCTTTATATATATTATTGATGAAAAATAAACCTGTAAAATTACATACTTCGGTTCGACTACAAACTTACAGCATTTTGAAAGTCTGTCGAGATTCGATTTGAAACGGGAGAACGCCTTTGTGCATTGCCGGTGCGATCTTGCTCATCGTCTGGGAGCTGCTGAACGACACTTTTGTGGATTCCCTTGGAGGGTATATCGACATCCGTTCTAACTTTGGTGGTCGCTTTGCCATCCGGTCCCGTCGTTTCACTGTACACGTTTTGTCCAATGCGCGCTAACAGCTTGCCGTCTTCTTTTGCTGAAAAAATATATACAAATATTCGTTACACTGAAAGAACATTGATTGTACAAATTGTATTCGTTTGGCCAAAAAACGATTTTCTTTCATTAAAAACATGTAGAAAACTTTTTTGAATGTGTATAATTTTTGTTTTAGTTTTTAGCCACATTATAATGGTATATCAATGATCCTCGGTTAAAGTACTTAAATGTATACATTTAAATGTTTAAATAGGTATAGAAAAAAAAACAATTTTTTACAATATCGCAAAAATAAAAGCTGATTGGGCAAAATAATGTACATTTTTGAAATCAGAGTACGCAAAATACCCTGGAAAAATTGTTAGCCACCCTTCAGTAAACCGAACATTTTATTTTGTAAATATCAAACTCAAATTTAATATATTATTTGTAAATAATATTTTATACATATATTCGAAAATGTAAATTTAAATATTGGATTTATTATATCTTGTTACGGCAGTAGATATTGAATATCAAAGAAATTCTTACTTTTTTTGAATAAGATCATATTTTTCTCAGAGAAAATTGAATAGGGAATATTTTATTTATTTTTTAAGAATCCATGTATATAAATGTAGATATATGTATCTTTGTATTGTGTATTACCAGTTCTATAGGTTTTAAATATATAGTATTAAACAAAATAAATAAATTTTATTGTACCAAGAGTGCTAATAACCTATGTTTATTATTGTTTTTTTATTGTTTTTGACTACGTATTTATTTATATAAAATAATAAAAAACAATTTTTTAATGAACCTCCAAAAACAAAAAATTTAAATTTGTGGATGGTACTTTAAGATGTTTCAAAGTTTTGATTTTTTGACACAGTCTGTTTAACATGTTAAGCCAAGCTGCTACTTCTAAAGTTAACCAGCACATAATTTATACAGGATGTCCCGAAACGGCGCGCCGCGGCGCCGGATATTTTGAGATAAAAAATATTTTTGAGTTTTAAAATTTTATTTTTCTGTTCTTGTTTTTTGATTACGTATTAATTTATATAAAAGTTTAAAAAACAATTTTTTAATGACGTTCTAAAAACAAAAAGTTAAAATTTGTTGATGGTAAGTTAAGATGTTTCAAAGTTTTGATTTTTTGACACAATCTGTTAACCACAGCTGCCTTATTTTAATAGTTCTCCATAATGTTTAAATATTATCCGAGTCGATCATATATACACTGAGAAAAAAAAAGATTGTAGAATCATTCAAAACGATAATAATTCAAAGGGATTCAAATATGTTTTGGCGTCATTGGTGTTTCTCATTAAATTAAAAGGTGTATAACAATTGTATAATACATATATTTTTAAAATAACGTTGAGAAAGGCAATGAAATAAATAGATTTCTTTTTGTATATATATTTTAAAGAGAGTACACTTTAAAAGTGTTTAAAAACATTGTAAAACTGTTGGTAAATGAATATAAAAGTACAATTTTTTCTATTTGAATCAAATTTACCCGATTATTTAAATTAATATCATTTCATATGCTTTTCATAACATGATATTTCTCTGAGTGTACATACAGCATTGTTGTATTTAACTCTTTATACGGCAGAATGCAATAATTGTTTTTTTTTGGTAAGACCTACCTATTTTGGATGTCTTAAATTATTTTAATGATTATTTTGAAAATCCAACTGTTTTTTTTTTAATTTATCATGGTGAATTAAATGGAAAACATGCCCATAAGATGATAGATGGGCGTTGGTCCAAATTCGAACCACATATTTAATTAAATCGTTTTTTGCGTTTCTGAAAGTATTTTATTTTTTTTCAGGAACAGGTAAAATCAAATATTTCCAAATTGTTCACTGAAAACCGTGTCATTATTCTTACCTGGAAACGGTTTTAGTAAATTTCAATTTCTCAAAGTTTCTTAATTTTTTGTGTTTGTAGCTAAGTTACAGTGGCATTTCTGTGATGCATATTTTTATTTTTATTTTCACTGGTCAATTTTCAAAAATGACCTACTATTGGTTGATGATTTATATATTCTCACAAAAATGTATTTTGAACTTCAAAATTGATTTTAAAAAATGAATTTTCAAAATTAAATTTTTGGACTTGAATCCTCTATAGAGGATTCACTATAGTATCAAAACCCCTTAAATGCGTTTTGATAAAAATGAGATACATGCATTAAAATATTCCTACCTATCAATGTGTGCATAAAAATGGTTGCAAAAGCCATCAAATATTAATAAAAAAAAAATTATATATACATTTCGTGGCTTTTTCAACCATTTGAATGCCCAAATTGATATTTTTGCATGGTTCTCATTTTTCATCATTTAAGGCAGGGCCGAGCCGTGCCGGGGGTGCAAGGGGTGCATGGCACCCGGGCGGCACTAACACAGGGCGGCAAAATATCATAAAAAAAATTGTATCATATTATCAAGAATAAAAAAGCCACCTTGCAATATGCAAAAAACTTTCTAAACATTACTTGCGTTTTATTGATGTCGGCGTTTCAAGGAATCATCGTTTTTATTCTACACATAAAAACAATGCCAAAATTGTGCTGTCAGGCGGCAATGATAAAAAAGACATAACCGAACGCGCGATAGCCACAAAAAATGATAATGGCAATTTTGTTAAAGCCTGGTTTATAGATTGCCGCCCGCCCGCTTCGCTTTCCGTCCGTCCGCTTCGAGTTCGTCAAGTTTCATGTTTTACGGAAGCGGGCTTACGGGAAACCAATCAAATCGCGCGCTGTGTACCACGTGATATTGTTTACAAGCTGAACTGTTAAGTTAAAGCAGAGATAACCCTATCTCTGGTTAAAGCATAATTTCTTCCGATTTAACGGTTGCGTATTTCAGCAATTTTTAGTTTTTCTATTAACGTGAGGCAAATAGGATGCAAACATAGTAGTTTCTTTTGTCTTTTAATGCGTTTAAGTTAAAAACTAGTTAATGATTTAAAAGGCATCTTTCCGAATTTATTTGTAGCATTGAGTAAAGAAGTTCTTTACTCAATGTTTGTAGCTTTAAGAATATTTTTGACGATGCCCATGGAGAGCGGTCATTTTCGAAATTAAAACTAATTAAGACCTATTTAGGATCCAATATGAGTCAATTTAGGCTTTCAAATTTAGCAATTATAAGTATTGAAGAAGATATTTCTAACAACTTGGATGTAGGCGACTTGATTAGGGAATTTGCTATTAAAAAAGCGAGAAAAGTAGATTTTAGTTTTTTAGTTTAGTTTAATTATTTTTGTTTTTTTTTTCCTGAATGTATTTTTATTTTATTCTTTTAAGTATTTGTTAATAAATACTTATTATTTACTATACAATTTGTATATAAACTTATATATAAACATATGTTTATTGAGAATGATAAATTATGAACTCGTTCCCTACCGACAACCTAATTTTTTACATCAATGGGGGCGGCAAATTTAATTCTTGCACCCGGGCGGCAGATACCCTAGGCTCGGCCCTGATTTAAGGGGTTTTGATAATAGGGGATTCACTTGTACTGTTCTTATTCTCACCGATTCAAATATTGTATTGTATAATATATATTATATAACTATAATATTTATTATAATCGCACATCTATAGTTTAAATAAATATTCGCAATAAATTATATTATTAGGGATTAAATAGTCTTATCAGTGGCGGCCGGTGGATTTTGGGTATACCAATATTTCAGTTATTAGACATGGGACCCACACCAAATTTATAATAGTTTATAATGACATTAAATATAAAAGTTCGGCGCAAACAGAATTTAAATTGAAGTTTGCGAAAAAAAAAATAGTTTTTCCTGTCGCCTCACCCGCCTCCAGGCCCACCTAATTTTAAATTTTTTATATTTATTTTATTAAATTAAAAAAATATTTAAAATGGTATAAAACCTGTAATATTTGGATTTTTAAAATAAAATTTTAAATTTGTCGATAAATTATAGTAGATAATAAATTGCACCACTTTAATTTGAATTATCTCAAATGGGGGGCCTGGAGGCGGGTGAGGCGACAGGAAAAACTAACTTTTTTTCGTAAACTTCAATTTAATTTCTGTTTGCCCCGAACTTGTTTATTTAATGTCGTTATAAACTATTATAAATTTGGTGTGGGTCCCATGTCCAATAACTGAGATATTGGTATACATAAAATCTACCAGCCGCCACTGAGTCTTATTTTTAAATTTTATATATATTTACATGTTGGTACTGAGAACTTTATGTAAATATATAGTTTTTATAAATTAATTAGGAATTGCAATTCAAATAAATAATTGCTTAAAGTTTCTTATAACATTGAATCAACGTTAACAATTTTAACATCGTTAAAGTGACATGAATAACCGTATAAAGTTAAATGCATTTATCGATGGCGCTTTTATCTGAAGATTACTGTAGTTAAGTTTAAAACTTCAATAGTTGAACGGAATGTTCTATATTTCCTCGAATGTTCTGAGAATTAAATTGATAAAGTTTCAGGTCGTATTTAGTTTGATTGTTTTTAAAAATTCGTTGATTAATTAATTTCGGATTATTTACCTAAAGCTACTTTAAAAATTGCATATTATAATCCTCATAAGCCTATTGGGTATACAGGGTGCATCAAGTATCCTTTTATGTATGGGTATCTTTTTATTTGAAAAGCTACCAGGTCGGTTAAATTAAAAAAAGTGGTGTAATTACAAGTCTATTAAAATTTAAATATTATTTAAAACTTGGATAAAAAATCAGCGGTTCTTAAGTAATGAAAACAAAACTGTCAAAACTAAAAATCGTTATTCTTGAGAATTAAAAAAAAAAAGTTTTATATGGGTCATTATCATGAACTTGTGGATTTTCCCAGTATCAATTTTGAAAAAAATTTTTTTTAGATTTTACCTAAATAATCAGATATGTATATCATTGTATATATGTATCAGTTACCCGAATACTCTAAGCTTGAAAAAAAAAATCTAAGAAAATATCTGTAAAAACTTCAGTTCGATATTAACGGAGGAGTGAATTAAGAAAATTAGTTCTTTAATATACTATTTTACTGCACAGTTTAACTACCACAAACTCGTCGATCGGTTTTCCTTGTCACTGATTGCTAACCCATGAAGATACAGGTAAATCGTCATCACAGTAGAGTATACATCTCAATAATGAAGACCTCATCAGGACTTTGTTGACTGCTGATTATTTTTCAGGTGAAAATTTCAGATTAATTTAACACAAAACGTTAACGAACTCCTCATTACACAAATATACTAGAATAGGTACTATAAAACCTCACTTACGTAAACATGTCTCACCTTCGTTATAAAAGCTTTTAACAGCAGTGAGATTAACGGGTGTGAGGTTTTTATTCAAATTTCCCGCTATTGACCTGTCTACTGGTTATAAAGACCCCGGTCCCAGACAATATAAACGCTTGCCTGTTCATATTATTTAAATATGTAATTATATTTATTAATATCTAATTGCTTACCTGTTGATAACCACTAACAGCAGTGAGAATTATGCTCCACGTTAGAACACTTAATACTTGATATTCTCGAAAATGTTCCAAAAAACCTAAAAATAATATGTCACGCACCAAGAATCCAACTAAACAGTAATTATTTTTTTAGGTTAACAAATACCTGGCAACGTAAGAGCCATCTATGATATTTTATTACAATTTAAGTCTATATTAACGGAGGTGAGAAAGTCATCCAGGGACACGTATAAAACAATTATCTGTGGGGATATAAAAAACATTTAATAATATTTTTTAATAAGATGAAAATACTTGTGGTATTTTCGTGCTGTTTATTATTTTTGTGGTTAAAACTTTAAATTTATAAATAAGAAAATTGAAATTGAAATATAGTGACTCTGGCGGGAGACAACTAACAAACGTACTGTTAACTAAAATTTTTATAAGATTTTAATAAATTTTGTCAAAATGCATTTGGACTAGCGTTAAGACAGTAATATTCTTTAATTTTACTACAAAAAAATATATATTTTGCCGTAAATATGTAAATTATTAATAAGGGACAGTAAATTGAACATTTTCGTGAGAATGACCCATATGTAAACATACACATTTATCTTCATTTTTATTCAACTGGAATTTGGGATACCTCACCATCTTTTGTTTTTCCTATGGCCACCATATTAAAATTTTAATTAAATGTAAAAAATACAAGGAATCCAACGATGTAACACACTGGCGGCCATTATAAAAACAAAATATGGTGATGGTACCTAACTTAAAACAAAGTAGCAAAGAAAGTGGATAAAAATGTAGATTAATGTGTATATTTACATGTAAAACTCACTTTGTTTTAAAATTCTCTGGAATAACAAAGTTATACATACATAAATGTATATCGATTTTTTGTTTTGAAATGTTTTTAGTTTTTTTTAAATATTTTAAGAACCGCTGGGTTTTTGTGTATATACTTCCTGTTATCTTTTAAACAATATGTTTGTTCTCATTTTTTGCGTCGTCTATGACTTTTTTACTATTATATGTATATTATATTTGTTTAACGCTTTTAAACGGCGTAAATAGTTAATATTTTGTTTAATGAATGTTTATATGGCATAATGCCATTGGCATTACAGTTAAAATAGAATTAAATAATAAAACATAATTTTAGGTCAAGAAATTAAATTAATGCAAAAAATATGAAAGAATACAGTTTTGAGTAAAATATCTAATAACATATCCAGTATAACTCTGTAGATATAGGAATAAAAGGTATAAATAATTTATATATCCATTTCACTCTGTAGATATCGGGATAAAAGGTATAAATAATGTATACCTTTTATTCCTATATCTACAGAGTGATACTATGTATATGTTATGAGATATTTTACACAAAACTGTATTCTTTCATATTTTTAATTTTTAGTATAAAAATATTCATTTTGTTGAAAAAATATTCAAAAGAATATTATCTTACCTTTTGAATTTAAAATGGAATGAGCTTTCTGCTTTCCGTTTATATCCTCATATTGAGCAGATTGTGACTTCATTATTTCAAGGGTTTTACCTTAAAAGAAAAAAACATAAATATTGTTTATACATGCAATATTAATTTTATTAATATATTGTTACATCTGGTGATCCATAATCAAGCGGTTTTGTGCCTTTTGGACAAAAATAAATTAATAATTAACCAACATTTTATAAATCTTATCGATTTAAAAAATATGTAGGTATTATTTCATACAATTAATATCGACATTTAAATTCAAATCCTTAAGGTTATTTATTTGTCAGTTTAACGATAATTTTGTCTTATTTTCTATAAATAATACAATATTGGTATATATATTTTGTCTTATAATTAAAGATGTGTGTGGAATATTAAGACTTAGTATAACTTGAAATATCAAAAATAATAAAATAGTTATTTATATACCAAGGCCAAAAAGTGACTTTTTGGATTTTAAGACGAGGACAATTTAACACTTTTTGTCAGTGGTCTACACAAATTTTTTAGGCGAGCCTTATTATAAAGATTTTATTTATGATTTATTAACATAATTATCAATAAAATGGACAATATTAAAAGTTTTCATTTTTTGGCCGCTTTTAATAAAGAGCCGAAAAAGTAACTTTTTCGGCCTCTTATGGTAATTATCGATAGATGGCGGAGAATATTGAAATCGGCCAAAAAAGTGTTATTTTTCGGCCGCTTTTGAGTACTAAAAATACACTTTTTTGTTAAGATTAACTAAAAAATAATTTTAATAAAAGTTTCCCTTCCGATATTTAGACAGCTTTTTTCCGGAGGTTCTGGAGCAGGCGAGTCTAGGATTTCTTATAGCTTCTCCTTTTCTTCTTAATTATAGGTATATTTTATTTTTTTAAATTATATGTCCATTACTATTACTTTAATCTTTTCAGCTCATTTGTATCTTAGTCTTTTATTTTAGCATTTCAGTTCGTTCTTAACATGTATTCTTAATACACTTATTATTTAAACCGTCACTTTTAATAATGTTCTAAATATAAACAAAATCATGATACACGCAGCGTGTGCTTTTTCAAATTTTTTTGTTAAACATTAACAAAATAATCTGTAACCTTTAAAATTAACAAAATGCTTACAAAATTGCACATTATCTTTACAAAACTTTCGGTAAAATATTTTCCTTTGTTAAAATAATTACAAACCCAGGATTTCTACAAAAAATTATGTTTAAATTTTACAAAATAAAATTAAAAAACTACAAACTCATTTTAACAAATTTGATTTTTATAATAGTGTATCCCAAGTCCTCCCAAGGAAGGAATTCGTTTATTTTTTACACTCTTTCATCAGCAAACCTATAGTTTCAGCGGACAATAAAGAACTGGTTGTAGTTTATTTTAAATTTTATGGTGACATTGGCAACTTAGGAAAAAAATATAAAGCACCTCAAGGGGGCCAACTTAAAAAAAATATTTGAACGGTAGAACGATACTTTAACCTCCTCCAGACATAAATCGTTTTAGCAGAAGAGGCATTGTACCCTGGGGAAAATAATGAAGTTGGCAGTGAAAATAGGTGGATTGGCCAATAGAGTGGCCTGCCCAGACCTAACACCACTTGATCTTTTTAATACCCCTTTTTAAGGGGTCATTTGAAATAAATATTTAGATTCTCAGAGAAAGAATAATTGACGAAATTCACAAAGTAAAACAAGAATTCAAAAATCGTTTGAGCCACTGTCTTGCTCTGGCGTTAACTGCAAAAATTTTGAACAGTTAATTTAAGTACTTTGGGTAAACATTTTATTGTTTTTATATTTCATTTTGAATAAAGGTTTTTTAAATTTTAAGCCTTTTTGCTCAAAAATATTCTAATAATAATTAATAAATAATTAATACACCGTTGAAATCAGAAAAATAGCATCTGGGGTAAAAAAGGGAGGTTTCTATTTAAAAACAAAGTTTGCCCCTTTGAGGGCTCCGTTCCCCCCAAGTGGGGCAATGTCAACATAAAATTTGAAATAAAGCACAAACCAACTTTATTAATATTTTCGAGAATTCAAAAGTTAAACTAAGTATTCCACCCTGTATATTGTATTATTTTCAGACGAAATTAGGGTTAAACCATAGATAACCTCAATTATTTGTATTCAAATGTGAGAGAGGGACTTTTTACTATGGAGCATATTTAGAAATAGCTACTATATATAAGGAGGTCCATTCCAAAACTCTGCTTATCCACTTTTTAATAAAAATGAGTTAATGGTGTCTGTACACTTACTTAACATGTATCCCTATTTACCCTGAAAAGTTCATAATATTCTAAAACTCACCTTATTCCGTTTAAAATTCATTTACAAATTGACTGGTTATATCAGGCAAAACTCGGCTTATACGTATGTAATTTTAAATTATTTTAAATTGGGTCTATACACAGTAAAAAAAATCAACTCTTAGCACCACTAATTAGAGTTCACACAGGTCCACACTAAATAGTATTGTTTCATAACACTACAATTAGAGTTAATTTGTAGTGTAATTTTCACCAAGTAAGCAAGTATGATTTAACACTGTAGCACTGTGGGTAAAATCCCACTTTTGTTCAGTGTAAATTAACACTACTTTGGAAAATTTCTAATTTTAGTGCAAACTTTTAGTGTAAATTAACACTCTTATTTGAGAAAAACCTATTGGTGGTAGTGAATAAAACGAAAAGGTAAATAAAGAGAAACATTTATTTGGAACAAAAATCTTTGACAATTATCAAAATCGGTGCCTTTTACAATTACAGAAATACACAATGACAAACACAAATAAACAACCATACCCCTGGTGGGATTCGAACCCACGACCTCACGGCTTGTAGTCCGCAGTGCTAACTACTACACCACCGAGGGCGGAGTATTAAGGCTTAAAGAAAAAGGAAGTATAATACTTACCAAAAAATAAGAATGTCCCCTTATGGATTCACCATAATTAAAATCTAACTGAACAAAAATGCCACACTTTCACAACGCGGTATCTCCGGATATGCACTGCGTAGGTAGATATATCTATAGGTACCAACCAAACATTTTAAAAGACATTTCGGTTATTACCAGTTTTTTCAGTCTATTTTGACACTATTGGTGTAATTTAACTTTAATTGTGATACAATGTGCACCAGTAGTGTAAAGAAAAAAGAGCACTTAGTAACATCAAAACAAACAAAGAAATTGGCATGCACTGTAGTGTACATTTTGTCACTATTTAACACATTAAGGGGTAATAAACATTCGCATTAAGTTTTTCTACCCTTTTAATAATAATAATAATAACGTTTATTGTCCAACAGATATAAAATCCGTTTACAGAACAATTACATACAAGAAAATAAGTCCTAATATTATTAAAAAAATATATATACAAAAAGAGGTATAATAATAAATAGTGTGAATGTACCAATGGATAATGTTCATATTCTTTAAATGTGTTTAATAAAGTTAATAAGCACTAAATGCTACCTAGTGTATTTTATAATGTAACTTTTAACTTACAAATCAACTCTAATATTTTTACCCCTACACTAAAAAATTTACAGGGGCATTTTTTTTTACTGTGTATGGATAAGCCGAGTTTTGGAATGCACCTCCTCATATAGAAAATATATTCCACGCAAAATTTTCGACTTTTAACAAAAAAAACTGACAACGTAATGATTTCAACCTGGTTCTTTTTACTTATACGAAAATATTTCCGAATGTTTAGTTTACCTTTTTTTAATTTGATAAGGTAAGTAGTTTTTTTGTTATAATTTTTTCAAAACGGCCCAAACAATATGGATCCCTCTATTTGATAAAACTTATATTACTGAATTCTTGAAATGATAAAATAAAACAAAAAGACACAATGAAATGAGAGTCGGAACATAAACTGGACATATAAATTCTTGGGACGAGGGCAATGTCATTTTCAGATTCCACACGACGAAGAGAACTTACCAAGGGAATGTTTTAAATTTTCCAGTTGCCTTACGCTGGTATCCTTAAACAAAAAATAAATTTAAATATTCTTTATTCTTTATTAAAATAAACATCGTTTAAGTGGGAAATTTATTAAAATTTTATAATGTTTATGTATTAAATAATAAAGCAATGTTAATGCAAATGGAAATTAATCATCCTAAATAATTTAATTTAGTTTTTTGAGTTGTTCAATTTAGTGTTAATGAAATTTTACTTACTTGGGCTCCTTCGTTGCTTCCTAAAACAAAACAGACAAATGTTAAACGCATACTTGGGTTGAGGCATAATGCTTCTTAAAAACTGGTTTTTATTACTTTAATACAGGGTGTTATGTATTTAATGTTATATATTAAAATGGGTTGTTCCTTAGGGTCCATAAAGAAGCACCTGAAACTTTTTTTTTCTAAATTCCAAAGTCTAAAAATAATTTATAATAACCTTTATCCTACCAAAAAGTACGCCACTGATCGACTAGGAACTTTAGGTTAATCTGGTGGATTTATTATGTTATGGTTGGTAACAGTGTTTCCAAAATCTCTCAAAAAAGTTGACAAACATTGTTTAAATTTAGCTTAATTACAAAAATGACAAAATTAACAATGCAAATTGTCAATTTGGCGTTTTTATTAATTGTTGGTTATTTCATTTTTGTACTGAAGGTAAATTCAAACAAAATCTGCCAACTTTTATGACAGAATCTAGTGCATTTCTTTTAAATTTTAGGTTATGTTTTCAAATTGTAAATATCTTAACTAAGGAAAGTGCTTTTGGATTTATTTACACAAATTAAATGTTTAAAGTTTAACCTGTGAACTGGTCCCAATTTCATCTGAGTAAACAGAGAAAAAAACTGATGAAAAAATTAATTTTGTGGTTATGGATTTCAAATTTCAAAGGTACTAAATTTTCTAATCATTGCTTAAGCTAATAGCTGGATCAGTAAATAAATACAGAAGGGTTTAGAGCTTTAAGGGCATAAAACTTTTGTATTTATTGAGTTTTTATTTATTTTTTGCAAGAAAAATTTTTAGTAACAATTTTTTGGCAACGCATAGCTACGTTGGTTGGTATCTATGTACTCACAAAATACAGCTGTGCAGAGATAAACAAGTGTGTAACCAGTGGCGTATCACAAAAAATATAAAAAACTTCTAATGCATATTTTTTCTTTATCTTTGGAAAAATGTTTTTTTAAATATTTTTCCTTTATTCCTTATGTCAAAAGGTATTCAGTATTTTAATATAAAACATTAATTACATAACACCCTGTATAAAATATGTTTTAAAGCATAGTATAGTATAATAGAACCTAAATAAATTAAATTTATTAAATTTAATGAGAAAAAGAAATCTTTTTGCTACTAAAGTGATTTTTTATTTTTTTAGGTAGAATTAAAAATTGTGTAGGTATGTAGTTATATAATATGTTATTAGTAGTTACTTAATACTTTTCTGCTAGATAAGTTGAAGCCCCAAATGTAATTAATTAATTTTTGTAAACTAAAATCCAGGTGAACAAAGCTGCAGGTCAAAGTTTTAAACTTTAGGCGGGTGTTTTTGAAATTTTCGACTTTATTTTCTATTGATATTGATCATTAAAAAAAACAATAAACCAATCAGAACACGGCAATCTCCACAGCATCCAAAACAAATTTAAAAAAAACTTAAAATATTGATAAACATTTTTTTGTAACTTGGCGTCATAAAAAAATTTATTTGGCTTTATTTTTTAATCAAGTCAGACACATAAAGGAAAGGATTCCCGTGATTTCAATTGGTCGCAGTGATCCGATCAGTTGACCTTTAAATTTTTTCTGTCAGATTTTTGTTGTTGCAATAAAAAATGGCAAATAATAATAATCCGTATTTAATTTTGTCAAAAAAATTAAAAACTAATAAAATTATAGTAAAATTGTTTTTTTATATAGGTATATATATTAACAACACCAATAGTCACACACAATGTTTTATTCAACTACCGCAAGTAATTTAAAGACAATTATATTTAATATTTTATGTAATACCTGACATCTTTTGAGCAATTTTAACCTCACTTTATTCAAATTTTAACTTAAACTTTAACTTTAAGTCTTAAAGCTAACTTCAGAATGTGTGCGTTATAGAATTTCGCCCACCGGTTAAAATAACGAAATGAAATGGGGGTTGAATAAATTAAATTTTGCCAAAGGAGTATAAATAAAAATTATAAAATTTACATACATTTTCCAGCTATTTTTCAAAAACTAGCTTTTCTGTTTAGGGGTCGTTCAAGTATTACATAACGCATTTTCTGCTATTTTAGACCCCCTCCCCCTACTTATTACGCACTAGAAAATTTTAATTTGCCCATGTTGAGAAGTTAAACCAACGATAATAAACCTCTAAAAAAAATGACCATTGGTGTAAGTTATACTCGTAATATTTTAATAATGTTTAATGAATTCTAATAATAATTCAATTATTTTGAAAAATTAATCAAAATGACTACTTATTTTCACTCGCAATATTTTTTATTCATAAAGTTTTTTATACATTTTATATAAAATAAACTTCAATTTTATAGAAATAAAAAATCGGCATTACCTCTAAAATAAAATAAGGTGCATAACGTAATACAGTTTTCTTAATAAATCAGTCTTTATTTTGCACAAATCATTCTTTATAACAAACAAGAAAAAGTCTAGCCATTAAGGGATTCCGTCCATGGATTTTGGATCTAATTCTCAATTGAATTAATTTTCGGAACCGGAATTTTTTTTGAATCTTTTGTTGGTAAAATTTTGCCACTCAACATCTTCAAAATCGGAGAACTGGTCTTTCTCCATATACATTATTTCGTTTCTCTGCGAGCAGCTGCTACACTGACTGGCCGAATCCGAATTGTCGGATGATTTTGAAACATTTTGCGAGAAATTAAGGAAAAAATTGCGTTACGTAATGCAGGAAGAACCTCCCCTCTCCCCTCCAGTAAAAAGCCGTAACGTTAGTGCTGACTCCCCTTCCCCCATTGAACGTCTTTCATAGGACTACAAAGAAGGCATACAGAAGGGACATAAAATGTTGGGGATAGCTTTAATTTTAATAGAAAGTCTTTACTTTTTATTTAGAAAGATTAAGATTTGAAAAAATAATATTGAAGACAAAGATTTCATTTTGACATATACTTGCCAATGTTAATTTACAGAAAAGTTACTAAGGACAATTTGAGTTTTTCCAATAATATTCAATATGAAGTTTAGAAGATTATAATCTAACTTAAAATGCAACAAATAGAAATTTACCCCCTAATCCAGGTATTGAGTTTAGGACGCTTAGGTCAATTTTCTCGGAGCGCGTCACATATATATTAAAATGTTTTATTTTTTTAAATGACGCCTTTTTAAGTCTAGAATCTAAACTATTAATAACATAAATTTTGAGTCTGAGATTGGGGTCATATTACTTGATAATATGAATATTAAACTGTATAGGCAGTATATACAGCCTTATACCTATACTTATTGTATATACATAATATTATTTATCAGGTTTAGCCTTAATATTTATTTGATGTTTGGTTTATAAGTTCATAATAACTTCAAGTACATACCAATTTGGGAGCTTCAAGTTTAATTTCCAATTAGGTTCGGATATTTGAAAACTTTTTTAAGTTGTAGTCGAAAATACCTCTAATAAAGAACGAATATAAGGAGTAAAAACATTTATCTTAACGAATTTAAATTAAAAAAGTTCGCTAACTTGATAGCGCTAATTCTTGATTGCTTTAGAGCTGAAGACTTCGTCAATTATGTATCGATTACCCAATTATTTGCAATCATTAAACAAGTCAAATAGAGATAACGCTTCTATTAATTATGTCCTTTCACGGTAATGTTTAAGCAAATATAAATTATGGTATTTCTACTACAACACAAAGGTATTTATTTCAAGAGTATATCGATGATGAAAACGTGTGTGGGCCATTTTCAAGACCAGAATTAATAATTTTAAAAATTTTAAGTTAAAAAACTTTAAACAATTTATTTGACACCCATTTCATTTCTTTACTTTAACCGTTGGGCGAAATTTTACTTCGCTTCAGCTTTAAGTTAAAATTGGAAAAAAGTGAGGTTAAAGTTGCTTAACAGCTATCAGATTTCAGATAAAATATCACTCCACGCTCGAGGAATCTGCTCTTTTTCCCACTAGTCTCACAATATACTATTAATTTATGAAAACTTGCCATGTGATTATTTACATGAATATGGTCTTAGAGCATTAGAGGCACGATTTGACTTAAAAAAACTCTACATGTCACAAATAATTGACAGGAAACGTTTTGAACAGTGTTTTTTGTTATGTTCGTGCTATAATCTTTATTGATCATCCCAAAGAGGAAAGCACAATATTAGTTACATGCAAGCGTACTAGTTGGTTTGGACGATCAAATTTAGGAAAAAAAACCAAATTTAGCGAGTAAAAAGAAACTATGTAGTTTATCAAGCGAATGCATACTTTCCTACATTATTTGAATCGATGACAACATTGAGCGAATTTAGTTTTGAATTGCTTCCTCATCCACTTTGGCTCCTAGCGACCTTTATTTATTTACTAATTTTAATAATAATAGTAATTATTTTATTGGCCTAACAGAATAAAATTATAATAACAGAACAAAAAATAAACATAAAAATAAAAACTTTTTATTATAAAGTAAAAATTGTATTTACCTACTCAAACTAAGATTAAAAATAAACCCAAAATATAAACTAAAAGTGTGTTCTGGCTACTCTAATAATATCATCTAGGCTACTAAAAAATAAATCAAATTTTTAACCAACACAGTTAAAATTTCTAGACATAGTAAGTACAGGTGATTTTAGCAATCTTATTGATCTCGCACTGACACAGTACAAACAATCACTTTTCCTAGAATTAAGACGCGGTACATAAATTTTACATAAACACAATACATTGACCAAACTTAAGGCTAGAACAAACCCTTTTAAATTTAAGAAAACGATATAGAAGAGATTGTTGATTAATGCCTCTAGTGGAATAAAATTGTTATAATATGAATTCCAAACAATGGAACAATATTCCAATTTAGATCTATGCAAAAATAAAGAAATTTTAATGCAGATTCATTAGTAAAGCCAAAGGGGTTTTAACTTATGAAACCTAACAATCTGCAACCACTAGAAATAATTCGCTGCATTGACAATTAAATAACAACTTGCTATCAAATAATAGTATTTT